AAAAAGAGAGGATCGAGGCTCAGAATCAGCCCTTTGATGCCAAAACCTACTGCTTCGTGGTTGACTCAAAGGAAGAATATGTCAAGGGGAAAATTAAAAGTTCCCAGGATGGGAAGGTCACGGTGGAAACCGAGGACAACAGGGTAAGCCTCCCCCCCCCCCCCCCCCCCGCTGCAGGTGGCTGGCTTTAGTCTGCTCCTCCTGGTTGCTGCGACTAAGCATCCCCTCACCCCTGACATTTCCCCATGGGCCCTGGTCCCAGACCGACTCACACAGCACCACTGTTATCCTTCCCAGGTGTTCTCAGAGAAAGCAGAGCAAACCGTTACCTTGGGCTGAGAGGTGGGAGAAGAATCTTACTGAGACTGATCAATGCAATTGTCATTGAGGTGTTTTGATGAATGTTCATGAGCTTGAGGTCAGAGGGGAACTGCTCTGTGCACCCCCAGGATGTGGAGTTGGCAACTGATAGTGAAATGACTGCTTAGTATGCGCTCCTCTGGGCACCTAGCTCTCTCCCTGATTCTCCTAGTAATTGCCATTTAACTGAGGCAGGGAGGAAGGCTTGTAAGGGCCCACCACCTCCAGGCAAAGTGGCAGCTTGCCCGGTGTGAAGGCCATGAGCCCTGCAGCCCACTGCACTTGGGCCAGGTCACTGAGGGAGTGTACGAACAAGGGCTGGAAAAGAAAACTCCAGGGAGAAGAGTAAAGGAAATGATGTGATTGGGTTGGAGGGTGGGGGTGGTGGGGGTGGTGGTGAAGGAGAAAGGCACTGAAACACTCCTCAGGGCTACCAAGTGTTGAAACTCCCCAAGGGTGGCTCTTTGTATATTTCAGACAAAGGAGGTAAAAAATGAGCTTACAAAGAAGCGGGGGTGGCGAAAGGGAGGCTGGACATAATGAATGATGTAGAGAGGCCAAGATCCTTCACAAGAAGGGCAGGTTACATGCGGGCAGCTTAAGTGAATCTGTCTCTGCCTCTGTGGCCCTTGTGTCCCGTCATAGAGAGGAAGGCCCTTCGGCTGCTGGGTCCAGCTCGCGTACCTGAGCCAAAGAGCCCCTGCTGGCTCCCCTCTGTGCATCCCCAGGTCCATCCACAGAGATCCTCTCATTTCTATCCTCCTTCCCTCACCTCAGGCCATGGAGAGGGATAAAGCAAAAGCCCTGAATAATCACCTCGCATCACCCCCACAGCCTTTGTCTTCCCTCCCTGTCATGTGGCCTTATCTCTAGTGCTGCCATTTAGCTCAGAGGTCTCTTCAGGATGAGATGTCTCTGCAGCGAGCAAAGTGCAGACTTGAGGTGAGCCTTGCACCTCTCCCCTTCCAGACTCTCGTGGTCAAGCCAGAGGATGTGTATGCGATGAACCCCCCCAAGTTCGACCGGATAGAGGACATGGCCATGCTGACGCACCTGAATGAGCCGGCCGTGCTGTACAACCTCAAGGACCGCTACACCTCATGGATGATCTACGTGAGTGCATCTCTGAGGGGTTTCCCGGGACATTGTGGGGAGGGGGGAGGGGCGAGGTTGGAGGTGGAGAGGCTCCTGTGGATGACGGGATTTTGAAAGATTAGTGTTCATGAAGTTGTTGAACAAAAGAGAGGGGGAAAAAAAAACAAGAAAAGGAGAAGAGAAAAGGCAGATGAGGAAAAACTGTGTGATGAATAGGGGCAGGAGGAAGGGGGCAGAAGGGAGACTGAGCGGGATAGCAGTAAAGATGGGGTGAAGGGGTTGGGGTGTATCATCAACCCCTCTAGCTGTGGGGGGTCTAACTGCTGCCCTCTCTGAGTCTCAGCTGCCTCATCTATAAAGGGAAATCATATTTCCCCTCCTTTACAAGATTATTGTGAAGTGAAATAATGATAAAGGTAAAGATTTTACAGACACACACACACACACACACACACACATACATTGTGTTTTACTCTCCCACAGACCTACTCGGGCCTCTTCTGTGTCACCGTCAACCCCTACAAGTGGCTGCCGGTGTACAACCCCGAGGTGGTGGCCGCCTACAGAGGCAAGAAACGCCAGGAGGCCCCGCCCCACATCTTCTCCATCTCCGACAACGCCTATCAGTTCATGCTGACTGGTAGGTTTCCAAAAACGAAGCCTGGAGCTGGGGAGTGGGCACGCAACAGGGCTTTGCAGGCCCAGTGGCCCAGGTCTGCCCCATCCAGCAGAGGGGGTGTGACAAGAGCTGTGCCTTGTAGGCCGTGGTGAGGAGTTTGGATTTCATAGAGTATTGATTAAACCATATGAAACTGACATTTCTGTGAACTTAAAAGAAAGATTGACAATTTCATATAGTTTAACCTCATATACAAGCCACAGGCTGGCTGTAAGCAGGGCCTTTGCCTTTGTGAGACTCGTTCTCAAGAAAGAGGCTCTTCTCACTCCCATCGAGGACTAATAAAAGAGGAGGAAGTGCAAGTGAACACTGACTGCATGAGCATGGGGAAGTGGGAAGCTCTGTTTGCGTTGCCACTGACTCCACATTATTTTTTCCTTTGGCAGATCGTGAAAACCAGTCCATCCTGATCACGTAAGTATCCGAGGTATAGGATAGTTTTGTAGCCGTGGTTCTATGTTCTCCCTGCAGAAGGTAAGGGGCCGCTTGCTCTATTCTGTCCATTAGAAAGTGTTTAGAGCACAGTGTATGATGAAAAGATAAATTGGGCATGGGAGGAGGTATGAGTAAGGCCGTAGAAACTGCATTCCCCTCACTTGAGCCAACTCAGTCGCGGGCCTCACCATTGGTCTCTCATGCTGATTTGGTCGGTGTGTGTCTGATGGAACTTAGAGTAAGTTCAAGCTTCTTGTGAATCTCGGGGAGACTGCTTATTTTAACAGGACTCATTTCTCTCTCTTTTGATCACTCCAAACAGTGGAGAATCTGGGGCAGGGAAGACTGTGAACACCAAGCGTGTCATCCAGTACTTTGCAACAATTGCAGCTACTGGAGACCTCGCCAAGAAGAAGGACTCCAAAATGAAGGTATTTTTTGGAGAGAAAGTCTTGGTTTTCTTCCATTCCTAACCTTTGTCTTAACGAGGGGGCAATGATTGGTGACAACTCCCCCCTCTTCACCATTGACACAAAGGGGAGCAGGCCAAGAATCTAAATGCTGAAGGGCAGCCAGTCATCTCAGACACCAGTGTGTGCTTGATCTTACAGGACCAGATCCTGTGATTTCCTAGAACAGAAGGTTCTAAATCTTAACTAAGGTCAGTTTGGGAGCAGTTCAGAGAGCTTGTTCTCTTATGGCAGAATTATATAAAGCCGCCTGAGGGAACTGTAGTGTCTACTTTGAAATGACAACATCACAGCAGTGTGAAATGAATGCAGACACCTTAACTAACTGGAGAATCAAGGAATTGAACATTAAAGGAATTTTAAGGCAAGAGACCCAACCATAGCCAAAGTGTAACAAAATGGCAAACATTTTTTGAGTGATACTTGGCCGATTCTCACGTTGGAAAGTTGGGGTGGGATGGATGGACCACCCCAGAGACTTCCAGTGCGTCTAGGTAGCTGAGTGACAGTGCTGGACAGCTTTTCTCACTGTGCCCACCTTGATCCCTTACACTAGGGGACCCTGGAAGATCAAATCATCAGTGCCAACCCCCTACTCGAGGCCTTCGGCAATGCCAAGACCGTGAGGAACGACAACTCCTCCCGCTTTGTGAGTCTGAGTTTAATTAAGGGGACTTTCTCCAAGGCCTACAGGACAGACACGTTTCTGTCCTCACGGAGGTTACAGACCAGCGGGGCTAGACAGTGAATGACCAGAACACATCACAGAGATGAGTTGGTTAATGACATGTGAGGGTCAGTAAGCAGGGACTTTGACAGAGCAACTGGGGACATGGTGTCCTTTAGGTGGGGCTGCCAGGGGAAGCCTGGTGCAGGGGTGGGCCTGTGGCCCTGACACCTGCAGGAGGAGCAGAAACAAAAGAAAAAAGCAAATGCACTCTCCCTGAGGCAGGGAGGGGCCTAGTGTGGGCAAGGAACCTGAAGAGGATCTGAGTGACCCCAGTGAGGTGGGTAAGGAGGTGAGTCCTTGAGACAAGGCAGAGAGGCCTGGTCTTGGAGGAGCCTGGAGGAAATGCGAGGGCGTGTAGATTGGGTCAGGAAGCCACTGATGGATTCTAGAAGTGGGGAAGTGATGTGGTTTGATTTCTAGCTTGGAAAAAATCACTCTATTACTTTGTCAACTGGGAGTGGGGCCATTAGGAGGCAGTGTGGAACAAAGTGGTAGAGTAAAAAGAGGCACATCAAACTGGAAAGAGACGGGAGGAGGGCATATTTAATTTCAAGCCACAAGGGGATGAAGCTCCCAGTCCCTTTGTGCAGGAGACTAGTGGGTGCACAGTGACACGAAGACACTAGCCTTGTCCCCTCCTCCCCCCACACAGGGCAAGTTTATCCGAATCCATTTTGGTACCACGGGGAAGCTGGCCTCTGCAGATATTGAAACTTGTAAGTAAATGACCAGGGTCACTTGATGTCTCCAGGTGACAGGGAGCGGTTTGGAAAACAGTCAGTCCTGTGTTTGTGTTCATAGATCTGCTGGAGAAATCAAGAGTGACTTTCCAGCTGAAGGCTGAGAGAAGTTACCACATTTTCTACCAGATCCTTTCCAACAAGAAGCCAGAGCTCATAGGTGAGGAAGTAGCCGGAGGGGTTGGTCTTAAAGGTATTGGGGTTCTTAGATGACTGGATCAAACAGATCTGTGCTTTTACATAGATGGCTAGACTGCCACCGAAGGCATTTTCTTTTAAAAATGGGAGTGACTATTTTGACAGTGATGTGCCAGTTTGAAGGAACCAAATCCAAAGGAGCGCAAGAGTGAAGTACTGCTGAATTCAGTGCGGGTTTATAACACCCTTCCCGACAAGCAGCATTCAACTGTCCTTTCGCGCCCCCTTGTGTTCCAACACCGCAACCAGCCTCTGACCAAACCTTGCTAGGCAGGTGCAAAACCACAGGAAAGGCCTGTGGGTATTTTCCCTGCCCTTTGTTCTGCATCCAACAGAGACCTCCCTGCACGCCGTGGTCTTCTTTCCTCTCTTGTGTTTGCTCAGCCTTCTGGCCTCAGGCCTGGAAATAGGCTGCAACTTTTCAACAGGCTTTGGAAACGACAATGGTTATACAAACCGAAATTGTGCTTCCTGCAGAGTGGGCTCCCGTCCTGACCCACTCTCAGCCAGTCTTCCTATTAACTTTTGTCAAGCTACATTGAGATGCACCATTTACATGCAAAGCAAGAGAATTTAAATATTCTCTCTGGGGCTCTTAATCTACGTGGCAATGCAAGCTGCAGTCTCCCCTCAACTTCATATTCAGTCACAGCCTGAGTGTGGCCAGACTGTGTAAAAAAGATTTGTAATTCTAAATTCAATTTGGAAAGTAAACCCAGAATACAGGGGGCTCAGGTCACTTGGGGATGCCTTCTTTGAATCCATGCAATCTCCTATAACTATTGGTGCTTTCAGAGCTGCTGCTTATCACAACCAACCCTTACGACTACCCATTCATCAGCCAGGGTGAAATCCTGGTGGCCAGCATTGATGATGCTGAGGAGCTGTTGGCTACAGATGTAAGTAAAACCGAGAGAAAGAGGTAAGGTGGTTCTCTTCCATCCCTGGGGTCCTCTGGCTGATGAGCTGTCTTTCGATGTAGAGTGCCATTGACATCCTGGGCTTCACTCCAGAGGAGAAATCCGGACTCTATAAACTGACAGGGGCCGTGATGCACTATGGGAACATGAAGTTCAAGCAGAAGCAGAGGGAAGAGCAGGCAGAGCCAGATGGCACTGAAGGTACAAAATCCCTGCAACAGACCAGAAGCCAGAGCTGGGTGATTGGCTATTCAACTGAAACTACTTGCTGCCTCCTTTAAAGTGATTAATCCTCCCAACTGGAGGGGTGAACCTATAGGCAGTGATGACCTTTTTGCTGAAATGCTAGAACAATCCATTTCAGCTACAATGAGAATGATCCAGTTTTCTGGAACCCAGCCAGGCTTTTTCATAAAATCTGTCATATGCCCTGAGTGACTTAGCTTCCATAGGCTACCTATGACCCGTTTGGAGACATGGAATAGAAAACACACCAGGGTGAATTTAGCCAGGCCTTGAAAAATCTGCATGACTTTCAAAGCATCCTTCTACTCTGCCAAGCATCAGGGGTCACCCTTGTCACTGCCTTTCTTTTCTTGCCAGTGGCTGACAAGACAGCTTATCTGATGGGCCTGAACAATTCAGACCTCCTGAAAGCTTTGTGCTTCCCCAGAGTGAAAGTTGGGAATGAGTATGTCACCAAAGGTCAAACGGTGGATCAGGTAAGCAGCTGGGAAGGGGCACAGGTACTCCACTGCCATTGCCTTCATACCCACTCACTGATCGTTCTCCTAACAGGTTCACCATGCTGTCAATGCCCTTTCAAAATCAGTGTATGAAAAATTGTTCCTGTGGATGGTCACTCGCATCAACCAGCAACTGGATACGAAGCTACCAAGACAACATTTCATTGGTGTTTTGGACATTGCGGGCTTTGAGATCTTTGAGGTTTGCATTACTTATATTCATGTTGTCATATGGCTTTGTATGTTTTCACAATCCTGTAGAGTATCTGTCAAGGTGGTCAACATATCACACTATCGGATCTTCTAGGAAAACCAGGATGGACCAGGTAGAAGAGAAATACCATATTGAGAGGGTTTCTATTATTTCAGGAGGAGGGAAGATGTGTGTCAAGTGGAATTACATGAGTGAAAAGGAAAAAAAGCAGGGGAGCACCCCACATGTTGAGACTTACTGATACTAAACCAGTTATGCCACATATACATAAATATCTTACTGGTTCTGGGTTAGAAACAAATAGCCATTTATGAAATAATTTATTATCCACTACATACAAGGGTGAATAAAACATGAGCGTATAGTCTAGAGAGGAAAGCGAGACGCACATAAAACACCCCAAAGAATGACTACAAAATAAGGGGCTACTGTGGTTGGTTTGCAGAAGAGCCCCAGACCATGAGAACACAGCAGAGGGAGAAACACCTTCTAGATGGGAGTTTGGAGAAGACTCCAAGGAGGAGGTGTGATTTGAGCAAGGCCACATCTCAAAGCACAAATGTGTTGACGAGGGCCTGAGGCAATGAGGAAGAAGGATGGGGTGGGGTGGGGTCGGGGAGTGGGGGTGCTTTGGTTTTTGAAGGAAGCCTAATAATCTACATGACCATTTTATCTTGGTGCTAGTATAACAGCCTGGAGCAGCTGTGCATCAACTTCACCAACGAGAAACTGCAACAGTTTTTCAACCACCACATGTTCGTGCTGGAGCAGGAGGAGTACAAAAAGGAAGGCATTGAGTGGACGTTCATTGACTTCGGGATGGACCTGGCTGCCTGCATTGAGCTCATTGAGAAGGTATCCTATACCATCCATCTGTAAGTTCTCACATACTCCATGCTCATCTCTGCAGCTCATATTTTCCCCATATGCATGTTGCTTTCCCTCTCTAGCCTATGGGCATCTTCTCCATCCTGGAAGAGGAGTGCATGTTCCCCAAGGCCTCAGACACCTCCTTCAAGAACAAGCTGTATGACCAGCACCTGGGCAAGTCCAACAATTTCCAGAAGCCCAAGCCTGCCAAAGGCAAGGCCGAGGCCCACTTCTCGCTGGTGCACTACGCCGGCACCGTGGACTACAACATTGCAGGCTGGCTTGACAAGAACAAGGACCCCCTGAATGAGACCGTGGTGGGGCTGTACCAGAAGTCTTCCAACAGGCTCCTGGCACACCTCTATGCCACCTTTGCTACGACGGATGGTAACAGACTCTACAGAGTGCCCTGAATTTAAGCTTTCCCCTCACCCTTTTAATTCACAGGCCTGAAAAAAATTCTTGATAGAACCACACATGCCACCTTTTATTTCTTTCAGCTGACAGTGGAAAGAAGAAAGTTGCTAAGAAGAAGGGTTCTTCCTTCCAAACTGTCTCTGCCCTTTTCAGGGTAAGAAAAACACAAGTGTATTTGCCCGAGTTGGTTTAAGTTATTGCAAAAGGAGCCATGTAAAAATTCTAAACTTGGTTTATTCAAGAAGAGTAAAGTGGGTCTTCCCTGCTGGCGTAGGGGTTAAAGTCACAAAGTTATCAGGCTATTTATTAAGCTATCGCCAGCCACTGTGGCATGAGTTTGATCCCCAGCCAGGGAGCTAACCTTCATGGCGCAGGAGACCTCTCCTGTCTCATCCGCTGCTCCCCTCAGCAGTGTATTTCAGTAGATCTGCCTGTTCTGCTCCCCACTCTGTCTCTGGTGAATCCTCTCACCTGCCACACCTCTGGCTTACACCCCGGTTCTTATATGCATAAATAAAAAAAAAATAAATCTTTTTTAAAAAAGAAGAGTAAAGTGATCTTTATCTGGTTATTTCACTTAGTGAGGTTGAGTAGCAGTATGATAATATATAAATGAAGTCTAACAAATATGGGATGTGAATTTACTTATCATTTTGGAATAAAACTGTCTGGATTGGTTGACTTGGAAGGTGAGTTCTACGTGCAAATTTCCCCACCTGACTGGACAAAGGAAATAGCACCTAATGTTCTCAGTGGAGTTGGATACATTTCCTGAGTTGATTTCAGAGGGTATTTTGTACTTGTTTAGTCTGTGCCTTACTGTGAAGCAAAATAACTGATTAAGTCAGTTATTTGCTTATACCTCAAACCACAGGATTATTAAAAGAAAGTTAAATCTTTTCATTATTCTTTATAATTCATGATAAATTTAAGATATGTCTTAGTTTCCATGACAGTGCATCCCTTATCTTTTTCCTTAGGAAAACCTGAACAAGCTGATGTCAAATTTAAGAACTACCCACCCTCACTTTGTGCGCTGTATAATTCCCAACGAGACCAAAACGCCAGGTAAGACACCTGCAGGCTCTCTAGGTGGTGCTCTGTTTTCAAGAAATTCTATGTGAAGCTGATATTTCTTGTTTGTGTTCTCAGGGGCCATGGAACACAGCCTCGTCCTCCACCAGCTGCGGTGCAATGGTGTGCTGGAGGGCATCCGTATCTGCAGGAAGGGCTTCCCCAATCGGATTCTTTATGGGGACTTTAAACAAAGGTGTGTACCAAAAATGTTCTACCAGCTTACCCTTTAACAACATGAGGGTTAGGGGTGTCAATCCCCTGCCCCCATAGTCAAAAATCCACAGAAAAATTTTGACTCCCTAAAAACTTCACAAATAGCCTGTTGTTCAAAGCAAAACCAGACAATTATAAACCAGAGACATCCTGCAGGGGAGGAGGAGGGAGAGGGATCAGAGGGAGGGAGGGAGGAGCACAGGGGACCGAGGTGATGGTGCACGGGTGCCTTGGTGAAGGAAACTCTATGGGGACTACACCTGAGGGGATGGGGGGAAGCAAATATTGTTTAAAAATGAACAATGATGTAAAAAATTTAAAAAATTAATTAATTAAAAAAAACAACCTGTTGTTTACCGGAAGGCTTACTGATAACCTATGGAATTGATTAATGCATATTTTGTATGTTATGTGTATTATATACTATATTCTTACAATAAAGTAAACTAGAGAAAAGAAAATGCTGTTAAGAAAATGATAAGGATGAAAAAACACATTTGTAGTAATGTACTGTGCTAATGGACACCATAAGTTTTATCACATGTTTACAAGAAAATTCATGTATAAGTGGGCCCAAGCAGTTCAAACCCATCTTGTGCAAGGGTCAACTGGATGTGCTTCTTGATGAGATGGATACATGCTGGAATTTGAGAGGGACAGGTACTGATATGAAAGGACCCATTTCAACAGTGCAGTTATAGACTTCCATGTAAAATGAATAACATACCACTTTCCCAAGATATATATATATTTCTTCCACATTTTCTTAGTAGCTTATTTGATATGCAATGGCAGAAAAAGAGCTAAAGGCCTAGATAGGAAACTAGCAGTGTGACCTTGGGCAAGTTTATGTCCTTCTCTAGACTTTGACCTTCTTGCCTATAGGAAGAAAGGCATGAACTAGATGGTCTCCAGGGTTTATGCTTTGCTAAGTCCCTTCTGTGTTTACAATGGCAGATACCGAGTGCTGAATGCCAGTGCCATCCCTGAGGGACAGTTCATCGACAGCAAGAAAGCCTGTGAAAAGCTGTTGGCATCCATCGATATTGACCACACTCAGTACAAATTTGGACACACCAAGGTAATGCATTAATTCCGACAGATGCTGGCTGTTCACCCTTTCAGGCTTCTCCAGAAAACCAACTCATCTTATCCTTCTCCCCTCTAAGGTGTTCTTCAAAGCTGGCTTGCTGGGAACTCTGGAAGAGATGCGGGATGACCGCCTGGCCAAACTGATCACCCGGACACAAGCTGTATGCAGAGGGTTTCTCATGCGTGTGGAGTTCCAGAAGATGGTGCAGCGAAGGTCTGGCAGGGTCTTTGTTCAAATACGAGCTCTTTGGGGGAAGTGGGGAGTCTGTCTTAGAAATAACCAGTATTTCATTTACAGGGAATCCATCTTCTGCATTCAGTACAACATACGCTCATTCATGAACGTGAAGCACTGGCCCTGGATGAAGCTGTATTTCAAGATCAAGCCCCTCCTCAAGAGTGCAGAGACTGAGAAGGAGATGGCCACCATGAAGGAAGAGTTTCAGAAAACCAAAGATGAACTCGCCAAGTCAGAGGCAAAAAGGAAGGAGCTAGAGGAAAAATTGGTGACTCTTGTACAAGAGAAGAATGACCTACAGCTCCAAGTACAAGCTGTATGTATTAGGAATTATTTATTTTTTAA